TTTACGTCATTGAATTTTGAGTCAAGTTGGTTTTGAAGCATAAACTGGGAATTTGATATTTTTGACTGATATTATGATTTTCTGTTTGTTTCATATCTTCAAAGTAGTTAAAACACTGTCAGTTCCACTTTAAGGTATTTCACGCTGCCTGCACATGTATTGGCCTGGCAAGTGGGTCCCAAACCCCAATATGGCACATTTCCTGTCTGTCAGTTCAAATCTATACAACATGCTTTGATGTCTCAAATGATAATGTGACTCAACCCAGCTATAATCTGATCCAATTTGGCTCTGAGATAATGAAGTATGACAACATACGAATAGGAAGGGTACTGCAGCTGAGACACTGAAACATACGTATATCCACTTCTCTTTTGACCTGGATTGCAGTCATAAAATAGATTTTATTTAAATATTTTTACTTCTTATTTTCTCTCCCTCTTAGGTCTTTATTACTCAGTCTCAGGCCGCGTCCCAAATGGCACTAAAGGTAGTGCTAGTCACTTGTTTCACTGAACCATCAGGAGGGCTAACTGACAAAAGAAGACAACCTATTACTCATAGTGCTCTCCCACTAGCCTACTCATCTGGTGGACAGATAGTGTATATATAGCTGTAATGACTATGATCAATGTTCTTGCACTTGTCGCTAATGAGTGACTCATAGGCTTTGTCTTTCCATCTCACACTGTCATCGTGGAATATAGATGAATATTAGAAATGTGTTTAATCAAGGGAGCGGAGGTTTAAACAGACATAGTGGAATAAATAGTTTTTCTCCATGGAGCCGTGTTGTAGTATTTTGATCCTTCTTGAATTTGTTGATGACATTGATGTGGACTCAGTACACACTGCTGGATATTTGCCCTTTCTGAAATTGAGTGGATCAATGTCCAGTGTCCGCAGGATCACCAGCACTTACCATGGACAGGCACAAAAGTAACAAGTCAATGAAACCTTTCAATAATAATGCCTTGAGTTCAATAGCAATGATTTATTTTAAGTTCAGATTTATCTGAAGGAGTGGCCGTGGTATTTGGCCTGGGAGCCTCCATTCCCTTGATGACGATACCCTCCAACACAATGCCCAAATAATATGTCACTTATGAATGGAGCTCCAAACGAGCTTCAATGCCATACAACACTCCTTCAGTAGCCTCCAACTGCTCTTAAACACTAGTAAAACTAAATGCATGCTTTTCAATCGAACACTGCTGGCACCCGCCCACCCGACTAGAATCACCACTCTTGACGGGTCTGACCTAGAGTATGTGGACAACTACAAATACCTAGGTGTCTGGTTAGACTGTAAACTCTCCTTCCAGACTCACATAAAGAATCTCCAATCCAAAGTTAAATCTAGAATCGGCTTCCTATTTCGCAACAAAGCCTCCTTCACTCATGCTGCCAAACATGCCCTCGTAAAACTGACTATCCTACCGATCCTTGACTTCGGCGATGTCATTTACAAAATAGCCTCCAACACTCTACTCAGCAAATTGGATGTAGTCTATCACAGTGCCATCCGTTTTGTCTCCAAAGCCCCATACGCTACCCACCACTGTGACCTGTACGCTCTTGTTGGCTGGTCCTCACTACATGTTCGTCGTCAAACCCACTGGCTCCAGGCCATCTATAAATCACTGCTAGGCAAATCCCCGCCTTATCTTAGCTCATTGGTCACCATAGCAGCACCCACCCGTAGTCTGCGCTCCAGCAGGTATATCTCACTGGTCATTCCCAAAGCCAACACCTCCTTTGGCCGCCATTCCTTCCAGTTCTCTGCTGCCAATGACTGGAACGAATTGCAAAAATCTCTGAAGCTGGAGACTCTTATCTCCCTCACTAACTTTAAGCATCAGTTGTCAGAGCACCTTACCGATCACTGCACCTGTACACAGCCCATCTGAAATTAGCCCACCCAACTACCTCATCCCTATATTGTTATTTATTTTGCTATTTTGCACCCCAGTATCTCTATTTGCACATAATCTCTTGCACATCTATCATTCCAGTGTTAATACTATTGTAATTATTTTGCACTATAGCCTATTTATTGCCTTACCTCCATAACTTGCTACATTTGCACACACTGTATATATATTTTCTGTTGTATTTTTGACTTTATGTTTTTTACCCCATATGTAACTCTGTGTTGTTTTTATCGCACTGCTTTGCTTTATCTTGGCCAGGTCGCAGTTGTAAATGAGAACTTGTTCTCAACTGGCTTACCTGGTTAAATAAAGGTGAAATAAAAAAATTAAAAAATGAATGTAAAAGCGACAAATATGTACATCACACATATTGACGTTTGTAATTGTGAAGATTTGACGTATAATGGCAATATGTCAGTAAATGTTACATATTTGGCCTATTACCTTAGTATATTATCTAGTGATGGGCACTAATATGGAAAATCCATACTAATATATCAGTTGAATGTTTTTCTATATGATATCGATATACAGTGGGGAGAACAAGTATTTGATACACTGCCGATTTTGCAGGTTTTCCTACTTACAAAGCATGTAGAGGTCTATAATTTTTATCATAGGTACACTTCAACTGTGAGAGACGGAATCTAAAACAAAAATCCAGAAAATCACATTGTATGATTTTTAAGTAATTAATTTGCATTTTATTGCATGACATAAGTATTTGAAACATCAGAAAAGCAGAACTTAATATTTGGTACAGAAACCTTTGTTTGCAATTACAGAGATCATAAGTTTCCTGTAGGTCTTGACCAGGTTTGCACACACTGCAGCAGGGATTTTGGCCCACTCCTCCATACAGACCTTCTCCAGATCCTTCAGGTTTTGGGGCTGTCGCTGGGCAATACGGACTTTCAGCTCCCTCCAAAGATTTTCTATTGGGTTCAGGTCTGGAGACTGGCTAGGCCACTCCAGGACCTTGAGATGCTTCTTACGGAGCCACTCCTTAGTTGCCCTGGCTGTGTGTTTCGGGTCGTTGTCATGCTGGAAGACCCAGCCACGACCTATCTTCAATGCTCTTACTGAGGGTAGGAGGTTGTTGGCCAAGATCTCGCGATACATGGCCCCATCCATCCTCCCCTCAATACGGTGCAGTCGTCCTGTCCCCTTTGCAGAAAGGCATCCCCAAAGAATGATGTTTCCACCTCCATGCTTCACGGTTGGGATGGTGTTCTTGGGGTTGTACTCATCCTTCTTCTTCCTCCAAACACGGCGAGTGGAGTTTACACCAAAAAGCTCTATTTTTGTCTCATCAGACCACATGACCTTCTCCCATTCCTCCTCTGGATCATCCAAATGGTCATCGGCAAACTTCAGACGGGCCTGGACATGCGCTGGCTTGAGCAGGGGGACCTTGTGTGCGCTGCAGGATTTTAATCCATGACGGCGTAGTGTGTTACTAATGGTTTTCTTTGAGACTGTGGTCCCAGCTCTCTTCAGGTCATTGACCAGGTCCTGCCGTGTAGTTCTGGGCTGATCCCTCACCTTCCTCATGATCATTGATGCCCCACGAGGTGAGATCTTGCATGGAGCCCCAGACCGAGGGTGATTGACCGTCATCTTGAACTTCTTCCATTTTCTAATAATTGCGCCAACAGTTGTTGCCTTCTCACCAAGCTGCTTGCCTATTGTCCTGTAGCCCATCCCAGCCTTGTGCAGGTCTACAATTCTATCCCTGATGTCCTTACACAGCTCTCTGGTCTTGGCCATTGTGGAGAGGTTGGAGTCTGTTTGATTGAGTGTGTGGACAGGTGTCTTTTATACAGGTAACGAGTTCAAACAGGTGCAGTTAATACAGGTAATGAGTGGAGAACAGGAGGGCTTCTTAAACAAAAACTAACAGATATGTGAGAGCCGGAATTCTTACTGGTTGGTAGGTGATCAAATACTTATGTCATGCAATAAAATGCAAATGTATTACTTAAAAATCATACAATGTGATTTTCTGGATTTTTGTTTTAGATTCCGTCTCTCACAGTTGAAGTGTACCTATGATAAAAATTACAGACCTCTACATGCTTTGTAAGTAGGAAAAACTGAAAAATCGGCAGTGTATCAAATACTTGTTCTCCCCACTGTATATTGGTTTTATAAAATCATGTGTTCATACTTTTCTGTTCACTTCCACGGCTCTGTGAAGTCCAGACAAGTGCTTGTTGATTGCCCATTGGACCAGATGTGAATGTTCTGGGAGCCTAAACTTACAGTTTAAATAAATCCATTCACCACAAATTCGCCCATCAGCAGGCAATTAAGTCACTAAGTTGAGAGCCTGTGAGAAGGTCTGTGAGAGGGGTTTGTGCATGCAGGAACTGTTTTTACATAATAGTGTAAGTTAACAGGAAGGATAAACCAATATCATAATATGTGTTAGGTTCTAAATAAACAGAGTAAAAACTAAAGGACAACTAGGAAAACTCAAACCAAGTTTATTCACCCACTGGGTCACACAGCTGCATCAGACAAAGACATATTCACACAAGTACTGGTATTTAAACCTTCCTGCTATGCTGAGTCTCCTCCATACACATCTGGACAGCCAATACATATCTGTTGCTAGACAGGACTTTAGTGATGCCTGTACTTTCTCACTTCATCTGACCTGGCCTCGGCCCAAATTCCTCACTCCTCCCCAACTCGCAGCTGTCCTGTTGACTTGTACCAGACTGTGGCCTTTCCTTTCCATAGGATACCTGATGTCTAACAATAACACGTTCTGACAGAAGGTAAACATTCTGCGTTTCCCTCGCTCCCTCAGTGACATGATTAAGGATATTTCAAGTTTATAAGTCAGAACCCATCATATGCCTTCCATATATCGATATCAAATGCAAATAAACCAATATCACGATATGCCTTGCTCTTATCGATATCAAGCTAAATCTATATCATATTGAATTATCAATATTGGTGCCCACCACTAATATTACCTTACTCCCCTTTCCCACTATGTGTCCAGATGACCTTTGTCCCCCTGGCTGGGACGGTCTGATCTGTTGGCCTCAGGGATCCCCCGCAGCGCTAACCAAGGTCCCCTGCCCCAGCTACATCTACGACTTCAACCATCAAGGTATTGGGGTATAGATAGGCAACACACTTGCTATATTCATGGGGTCAGATTTACTAAGCGTTTGCACCAGGTGCAAAGTTTGCAACCATTTTTTTTAGAAAGGTATAAAACCCCAAAACAAATTTTCATTTACACTTTACCTTAAAGCTAGAATATTTAGTTGCTATATCCATTTTTGAAATTAATTATATATACATTTTAGTCATTTAGCAGACGCTCTTATCCAGAGCGACTTACAGTTAGTGAGTGCATACATTATTTATTTTTCATACTGGCCCCCGTGGGAAACGAACCCACAACCCTGGCGTTGCAAACGCCATGCTCTACCAACTGAGCTACATCTCTGCCGGCCATTCTCTCCCCTACCCTGGACGACACTGGGCCAATTGTGCGGTCGCGGCCAGCTACGACAGAGCCTGGATTCAAACCAGGATCTCTAGTTTACTCATTGATTCTTGAAGAATATACACTGAGTATACAGTCGTGGTCAAAAGTTTTGAGAATGACACAAGTATTGGTCTTCACAAAGTTCGCTGCTTCAGTGTTATGAGATATTTTTGTCAGATGTTACTATGGTATACTGAAGTATAATTACAAGCATTCCGTAAGTGTCAAAGGCTTTTATTGACAATTACATTAAGTTTATGCAAAGAGTCAATATTTGCAGTGTTGACCCTTCTTTTTCAAGACCTCTGCAATCCGCCCTGGCATGCTGTCAATTAACTTCTGGGTCACATCCTGACTGATGGCAGCCCATTCTTGCATAATCAATGCTTGGAGTTTGTCAGAATTTGTGGGTTTTTGTTTGTCCACCCGCCTGTTGAGGATCGACCACAAGTTCTCAATGGGATTAAGGTCTGGGGAGTTTCCTGGCCATGGACCCAAAATGTTGATGTTTTGTTCCCCGAGCCACTTAGTTATCACTTTTGCCTTATGGCAAGGTGCTCCATCATGCTGGAAAAGGCATTGGTCGTCACCAAACTGTTCTTGGATGGTTGGGAGAAGTTGCTCTCAGAGGATGTGTTGGTACCATTCTTTATTCATGGCTGTGTTCTTAGGCAAAATTGTGAGTGAGCCCACTCCCTTGGCTGAGAAGCAACCTCACACATGAATGGTCTCAGGATGCTTTACTGTTGGCATGACACAGGACTGATGGTAGCGCTCACCTTGTCTTCTCCGGACAAGGTGTTTTCCGGATGCCCCAAACAATCGGAAAGGGGATTCATCAGAGAAAATGACTTTACCCCAGTCCTCAGCAGTCCAATCCCTGTACCTTTTGCAGAATATCAGTCTGTCCCTGATGTTTTTCCTGGAGAGAAGTGGCTTCTTTGCTGCCCTTCTTGACACAAGGCCATCCTCCAAAATATGCAAATTGCCATCATCAAAACTGAGGCAGCAGACTTTGTGAAAATGAGTATTTGTGTCATTCTCAAAACTTTTGACCACGACTGTACAACACATTAAGAACACCTACTCTTTCTATGACATGACCAGATGAATCCAATTGAAAGCTATGATCTCTTATTGATGTAACTTGTTAAATCCGCTTCAATCAGTGTAGATGAAGGGGAGGAGACAGGTTAAAGAAATATTTTTAAGCCTTGAGACAATTGAGACCTGGATTGTGTATGTGTGCCATTCAGAGGGTGAACGGGCAAGACAAAAAATGTAAGTGCGTTTGAACGGGGTATGGTAGTAGGTGCCAGGTGCACTGGTTTGTGTCAAGAACTGCAACGCTGCTGGGTTTTTCACGCTCAACAGTTTCCCGTTTGTGTCAAAAATAGTCCACCACTCAAAGGACATCCAGCCAACTTGACACAATTGTGAGAAGCATTGGAGTCAACATGGACCAGCATCCCAAGCAATGTACACGTAATGGATTTGACATATTGAATGGTTTGATGAGCATGAAAACGATGTAAACCATATCCCATGGCCGTCTCACTCACCAGATCTCAGCCCAATTGAACACTTATGGGAGATTCTGGCGCGGCGCCTGAGACAGTGTTTTCCACCACCAACAAAACACCATATGATAGAATTTCTTGTTGGAGAATGGTGTCGCATCCCTCCAATAGAGGTACAGACACTTGTAGAATCCATTCTAAGTTGCATTGAAGCTGTTCTGGCTCGTGGTGGCCCAACGCCCTATTAAGACGCTTTATGTTGGTGTTTCCTTTGTTTTGGCAGTTACCTGTATGTTGCAATGTAAATGACCAGACCGTGTATGTCTGGTGTATGTGTCTGGTGTGTGTGTGTCTGTGTGCCTGTGTCTGTGTCTGTGCCTGTGTGTATGTCCAGGCCATGCATACAGGAAATGTGATGTCAACGGTTCCTGGGTTTCTGTGGAGTGGTTGAACCGAACGTGGTCCAATTATTCTGACTGCTTAAGATTCCTTTTACCTGGTCAAGAGGAGGAAAAGGTAATCCCAATCACCACTTCAGTCACACCAAAGATTCCAATTAACATTGTTGTGGTTGCAGACTTGACTCATGACAATTCTTGAGTTGCTCTGACTCACGCTAAAAGCGGAGCTACACTGGGGGGTCGGGAAAACAGTAGGTTTTTAGCTTCTATGCTAGACGCCTACAGTGAGGGAAATAAGTATTTGATCCCCTGCTGATTTTGTACGTTTGCCCACCGACAAAGAAATTATCAGTCTATAATTTTAATGGTACATTTATTTGAACAGTGAGAGACAGAATAACAACAAAAAAATCCAGAAAGACGCATGTCAAAAATGTTATAAATTGATTTGCATTTTAATGAGGGAAATAAGTATTTGACCCCCTCTCAATCAAAAAGATTTCTGGCTCCCAGGTGTCTTTTATACAGGTAACGAGCTGTGATTAGGAGCACACTCTTAAAGGGAGTGCTCCTAATCTCAGTTTGTTACCTGTATAAAAGACACCTGTCCACAGAAGCAATCAATCAATCAGATTCCAAACTCTCCACCATGGCCAAGACCAAAGAGCTCTCCAAGGATGTCAGGGACAAGATTGTAGACCTACACAAGGCTGGAATGGGCTACAAGACCATCGCCAAGCAGCTTGGTGAGAAGGTGACAACAGTTGGTGCGATTATTCGCAAATGGAAGAAACACAAAATAACTGTCAATCTCCCTCGGCCTGGGGCTCCATGCATGATCTCACCTCGTGGAGTTGCAATGATCATGAGAACGGTGAGGAATCAGCCCAGAACTACACGGGAGGATCTTGTCAATGGTCTCAAGGCAGCTGGGACCATAGTCACCAAGAAAACAATTGGTAACACACTACGCCGTGAAGGACTGAAATCCTGCAGCGCCCGCAAGGTCCCCTTGCTCAAGAAAGCACATATACATGCCCGTCTGAAGTTTGCCAATGAACATCTGAATGATTCAAAGGAGAACTGGGTGAAAGTGTTGTGGTCAGATGAGACCAAAATCGAGCTCTTTGGCATCAACTCAACTCGCCGTGTTTGGAGGAGGAGGAATGCTGCCAATGACCCCAAGAACAACATCCCCACCGTCAAACATTGAGGTGGAAACATTATGCTTTGGGGGTGTTTTTCTGCTAAGGGGACAGGACAACTTCACCGCATCAAAGGGACGATGGACGGGGCCATGTACCGTCAAATCTTGGGTGAGAACCTCCTTCCCTCAGCCAGGACATTGAAAATGGGTCGTGGATAGGTATTCCAGCATGACAATGACCCAAAAGACACGGCCAAGGCAACAAAGAAGTGGCTCAAGAAGAAGCACATTAAGGTCCTGGAGTGGCCTAGCCAGTCTCCAGACCTTTATCCCATAGAAAATCTGTGGAGGGAGCTGAAGGTTCGAGTTGCCAAACGTCAGGCTCGAAACCTTAATGACTTGGAGAAGATCTGCAAAGAGGAGTGGGACAAAATCCCTCCTGAGATGTGTGCAAACCTGGTGGACAACTACAAGAAACGTCTGAACTCTGTGATTGCCAACAAGGGTTTTGCAACCAAGTACTAAGTCATGTTTTGCAGAGGGGTCAAATACTTATTTCCCTCATTAAAATGCAAATCAATTTATAACATTTTTGACATGCGTTTTTCTGGATTTTTTTGTTGTTATTCTGTCTCTCACTGTTCAAATAAACCTACCATTAAAATTATAGACTGATCATGTCTTTGTCAGTGGGCAAATGTACAAAATCAGCAGGGGATCAAATACTTTTTTCCCTCACTGTAACAGCCTGCGTGAACAGTGTAACAGGCCTGTAAGATATCCATTTCTCTCAAGCAGGACTTCTTTGACCGGCTGTACGTCATGTACACCATTGGATATGCGCTGTCCTTCATCTCTCTTCTAGGGGCCATTGTCATCATAGGCTACTTCAGGTAAGACAGCCTTGTGTCCCAACATTTGGTCCTTTCTCCTGAAGTGTGCACTTGTGTACTCCTCCTCACAAATATTTGTTTTTTCTTATACCAGTCATTTCCTTTCAGTCTATGAAAGGAAGTGAACAAGTGCAGACTTTGGGAGAAAGGACATTATTGGGGCGCAGATGTATAGCCATAAGTAATTTCAGGAGACGCATAGACCATTGCAGAACAGACATGTTCCCTAGTATCAGGGTTCACTTCAATGAAACATTTTCTGAAACATTTTCCACCTGTGTAAATGCCACTGATGTCATACAGCACTGGGCCTCATCTGTTCATCACCATTTTCCAAAAACAGCCTCACAATAAATGCTAAGTAAAAATAAATATCCTGGCCAATCCTCTTGACTCATCTCCAAATTCTCTGGGATATGCCATCACCAAGATGAAAAAAAATATGCATTACCTGAAGACCCACTGGGCACACCATGTCATTTCAACGTGGAAATTTGGGTAATATTTGGTTGAGACGTTGATCAATGAGATTTCAATCTTTATTCACCCACTCAAAAAAACTGCCAGAGGTTTGTTGAATTCCCAATGTGTTATCACTATGCTTTCAACCATCTAAAAGCACAACCAAATTCCAATGGAAAAACAATGTTTTGGGACACTGTAAAGTCCATGGAGAATAAGAGCACTTCCTCCCAGTTGCCCACTGCACTGAGGCTAGGAAACACTATCACCACCGATAAATCTACAATAATCGAGAATTTCAACAAGCATTTTGCTACAGCTGGCCATGCTTTCCATCTGGCTACCACTACCCCGGCCACCAACTCTGCACCCTCCGCTGAAACTTGCCCATGCCCCCCCCCGCTTCTCCTTCACACAAATTCAGACAGCTGACGTTTTGAAAGAGCTGCAAAATCTGGACCCCTACAAATCAGCTGGGCTAGACAATCTGGACCCTTTCTTTCTAAAACTAGCCGCCGAAATTGTCGCAACCCCTATTACTAGTCTGTTCAACCTCTCTTTCATAACGTCTGAGATCCCCAGAGATTGGAAAGCTGCCGCGGTCATCCCCCTCTTCAAAGGGGGTGACACTCTAGATCCAAACTGCTACAGACCTATATCCATCCTGCCCTGCCTTTCGAAAGTATTTGAAAGCCAAGTTAACAAACAGATCACCGACCATTTCGAATACCACCGTACATTCTCCGCTATGCAATCCGGTTTCCGAGCTGGTCATGGGTGCACTTCAGCCACGCTCAAGGTCCTAAACGATATTATAACCGCGATTGATAAAAGACAGTACTGTGCAGCCGTCTTCATCGACCTGGCCAAGGCTTTCGACTCTGTCAACCACCGCATTCTTATTGGCAGACTAAATAGCCTTGGTTTCTCAAATGACTGCCTCGCCTGGTTCACCAACTACTTCTCAGATAGAGTTCAGTGTGTCAAATCGGAGGGCCTGTTGTCTGGACCTATGGCAGTCTCTATGGGGGTGCCACAGGGTTCAATTCTTGGGCCGACACTTTTCTCCGTGTATGTCAATGATGTCGCTCTTGCTGCTGGTGACTCTCAGATCCACCTCTACGCAGACGACACCATTTTGTATACATCTGGCCCTTCATTGGACACTGTGTTAACAAACCTCCAAACGAGCTTCAATGCCATACAACACTCCTTCAGTAGCCTCCAACTGCTCTTAAACACTAGTAAAACTAAATGCATGCTTTTCAATCGAACGCTGCTGGCACCCGCCCACCCGACTAGAATCACCACTCTTGACGGGTCTGACCTAGAGTATGTGGACAACTACAAATACCTAGGTGTCTGGTTAGACTGTAAACTCTCCTTCCAGACTCACATAAAGAATCTCCAATCCAAAGTTAAATCTAGAATCGGCTTCCTATTTCGCAACAAAGCCTCCTTCACTCATGCTGCCAAACATGCCCTCGTAAAACTGACTATCCTACCGATCCTTGACTTCGGCGATGTCATTTACAAAATAGCCTCCAACACTCTACTCAGCAAATTGGATGTAGTCTATCACAGTGCCATCCGTTTTGTCTCCAAAGCCCCATACGCTACCCACCACTGTGACCTGTACGCTCTTGTTGGCTGGTCCTCACTACATGTTCGTCGTCAAACCCACTGGCTCCAGGCCATCTATAAATCACTGCTAGGCAAATCCCCGCCTTATCTTAGCTCATTGGTCACCATAGCAGCACCCACCCGTAGTCTGCGCTCCAGCAGGTATATCTCACTGGTCATTCCCAAAGCCAACACCTCCTTTGGCCGCCATTCCTTCCAGTTCTCTGCTGCCAATGACTGGAACTCTGGAGACTCTTATCTCCCTCACTAACTTTAAGCATCAGTTGTCAGAGCACCTTACCGATCACTGCACCTGTACACAGCCCATCTGAAATTAGCCCACCCAACTACCTCATCCCTATATTGTTATTTATTTTGCTCTTTTGCACCCCAGTATCTCTATTTGCACATAATCTCTTGCACATCTATCATTCCAGTGTTAATACTATTGTAATTATTTTGCACTATAGCCTATTTATTGCCTTACCTCCATAACTTGCTACATTTGCACACACTGTATATATATTTTCTGTTGTATTTTTGACTATGTTTTTTACCCCATATGTAACTCTGTGTTGTTTTTATCGCACTGCTTTGCTTTATCTTTGCCAGGTCGCAGTTGTAAATGAGAACTTGTTCTCAACTGGCTTACCTGGTTAAATAAAGGTGAAATAAAAAAATAAAATAAAAATAAAATGTTAGAATTTTGGTTTAGTTGTCATCTAAATGTGTTATCACTGCGCTTTTTTACCATTTAAAAGCACAACAAATGGGAATACAATGTCATATATTTTGTATTTATACAATAAGTTAATGTGTTATCACTATGCTTAATCTAATAGCACATCCAAATGACCTGGATTGCATATGAGATTACATGAAAAGTACATATTGCAAGTGATCAATGCTGTTCAAGATTCTGCACAGATTATTATAGCAATTGTAAAGATCTCCACAGACCTGCGACCTTTGCATGCTATCTTGAACATGTACACTTTCTTTGATTACATAAGAAGACATTTATAGTTACAGTAGGCTAACCTCAAAATTTGGCCATGGACGTGTTACTAATTTTAAGGTTGAATAAACACTGTTACATTAGTTTGTAAGATAACCTTAACTTTAGGCTATTTGTTGTATTACAAAATTATTATTGAATTTTGTTTGGTTGACAACGCAGCCAAATATCAACATTTTAAAGGATATCTAATGCTTGGATAGTTTCATCTGAGCCACTGGCATAATCCTATTCTTTAACCTTTATTTTTGGTTTAGAATCCAACATATAATTTGTTAACTTGTTGAAAAGTTAACAGGCTATTTACTGTATTGCAAAACTGAATTGTGTTTGGTTGTCAACACAACCAAATATCAACATTTAATGAGATGTATCTTTTGTGCCACTGACTTAGTCTGGCCTTATTCCCAGTTTGTCTACAAATTAATAATTGATATCTCCAACTCAACCAAAAATCAAAGTTAAAGAATAGGACTACCATAATTCCCTAATAACAGAGCAAAACATGCTTTGTACAAGTTAAAGAATAGGACTAAATCAAATTAAACTTTATTTAATGTGCATTTAAAGTTTAATTAGACTAGATTTAGTCCTATTCTTAAACTTAGATTTTTGGTTGAGTTGGAGACGTGAATCCAACAAATCAATGCTTTTCATTATGAGTTGTCAATGTCATGAATGCAATTAGAGAAGAAAGTATTACTCTCAATCATCTTCCCTCAGTATTTCATCACAGATGCTATAAAAAAACCACAGTACACTGTAAAACAAACTCAAATGGTCTGAGGAAACTGATTGCGGTGAACCATTTTGATTTTAAAAAACGTGGAATTGAGTGTATTTTACTAAATTCAGGTTATTTTATTCAATTCAGGTTACTCAATGCAGTTAGGTTTTATAATGTATATGTATTAACAGTACATTTCCAAATTCCTCTCAACACGATAAACTAGGTTTGAATGCCAAAACAAAAATATAGATGCATAGAATTTCTCTCTAGGTTTCTACCTATGTTTCTTCCTTCTAGAGAGTTTTTCTTAGCCACTGTGCTTTTGCTAATGCTTAGCTTGCTCTTTGGGGTTTAGGCCGGGTAAAGCACTTTTTGACAACTGCTGATGTAAAAGGGTTTTATAAAATACATTTCATTGATTGAATAGATTGTTGAGTCCTGAGTGTTTTACCCCTGTCTGCCTGCCATGCAGACGCCTCCACTGCACTAGGAACTACATCCACATGCACCTATTTGTGTCCTTCATGCTGCGTGCCGCCAGCATCTTTGTCAAAGACAAGGTGGTCCACACCAACGGAGGTCTGCAGGAGTTTGACACAGCTCTCATGGACAACTACAAGACCATCTCTGCTATGCCCGTTGACAACTCCCAGTTTGTGAGTACAATAATGTTCTTCCCTTCAACTTCAAGGTCAGTTTGTTGTATGAAATGCACTTCAATGCTTGCTCTCAAGTGTCATCGCAAAGAAAAATAAATAACAGCACAACATAGGGGGGTCGATAAATGCACATCGAAAATCTAAATCAAATATTATTACATTTACATTTTAGTAGACACTCTTATCCAGAGCGACTTACAGTTAGTGAGTGCATACATTTTTTATACTGGCCCCCCGTGGGAATCGAACCCACAACCCTGGCAAGCGCCATGCTCTACCAACTGAGCTACATGGGAGCGTACACATATTTACCAGATGTTATTGTGGGTGTAGCGAAATGCTTGTGTTCCTAGATCCAACAGTGTAGTAATATCTAACAATACACACACATTTAAAAGTAAAATAATGGAATTAAGAAATATATCAATATTAGGGTAATCACTGTCGGAGTCCGGAGTATAAATATATATACAGTACCAGTCAAAAGTTTGGACACACCTACTCATTCAAGGGTTTTTCTTTATTTTTACTATTGTCTATATTGTAGAATAATAGTGAAGACATCAACACTATGAAATAACACATATGGAATCAAAAAAGTGTTAAACAAATCAAAATATATTTTATATTTGAGATTCTTCAAATAGCCACCCTTTGCCTTGATGACAGCTTTGTACACTCTTGGCATTCTCTCAACCAGCTTCACCTGGAATACTTTTCCAACCATCTTGAAGGAGTTCCCACATATGCTGAGCACTTGTTGGCTGCTTTTCCTTCACTCTGCCGTCCGACTCATCCCAAACCATCTCAATTGGGTTGAGATCGGGGGATTGTACTTGAACTCTGTGAAGCATTTATTTGGGCTGCAATTTCTGAGGCTGGTAACTCTAATGAACTTATCCTCTGCAGCAGAGGTAACTCTGGGTCTTCCATTCCTGTGGCGGTCCTCATGAGAGCCAATTTCATCATAGTGCTTGATGGTTTTTGCGACTGCAAAAGTTCTTGAAATGTTCCGTATTGACTGACCTTCATGAGTAATGATAGACTGTCATTTCTCTTTGCCTCTTTGAGCTGTTCTTGCCATAATATGGACTTGGTCTTTTACCAAATAGGGCTATCTTATGTATACCCCCCCTACTTTGTCACAACACAACTGATTTGCTCAAACGTATTAAGAAGGAAATAAATTCCACAAATTAACTTTTAAGAAGGCACACCTGTTAATTGAAATGCATTCCAGGTGACTACCTCATGAAGCTGGTTGAGAGAATGCCAAGAGTGTGCAAAACTGTCATCAAGAAAAAGGGTGACTATTTGAAGAATATAAAATATATTTTGATTTGTTTAACACTTTTTTATTTACTGAATGATTCCATATGTGTTATTTCATAGTTTTGATGTCTTCACTATTATTCTACAATGTAAAAAATAGTAAAAATAAAGAAAAACCCTTGAATGAGTAGGTGTGTCCAAACTTTTGACTGGTAGTATATATACACTGAACATAAATATAAACGCAACATGTAAAGTGTTGGTCCCATGTTTCATGAGCTGAAATAAACGATCCCAGAAGTTTTCAATACGCAGAAAAAATGTATTTATTTCAAATGTTGTGCACAAATTTGTTTACATCTCTGTTAGTAAACATTTCTCCTTCGCCAAGTTAACCCTTCCACCTGTGGCATATCAAGAAGCTGATTAAATAGCATGATCATTACACAGTTGCACCTTGTGCTGGGGACAATAAAAGGCCACTCTAAAATGTTGTCGTGCCATTCATCCGCCGCCATTACCTCATGTTTCAGCATGGATCTATACATAATTCCTGAAAGCTGAAAATGACCCAGTTCTTCCATGGCCTGCATACTCACCAGACATGTCAGCCATTGAGCACGTTTGGGATGCTCAGGATCGACGTTTACGACAGCGTCTTCCAGCAACTTCACACAGCCATTGAAGAGGAGTGGGACAACATTCCACAGGCCACAATCAACAGCCTGATCAACTCTATGCGAAGGAGATGTGTCGCGTTGCATGATGCAAATAGTGGTCACACCAGATACTGATTGATTTTTATGATCCATGCCCCTACTTTTTGCATATCTGTATTCCCAGTCATGTGAAATCCATAGATTAGGGCCTAATGAATTTATTTCAATTGACTGATTTCCTTATATGAACTTTAACTCAGTAAAATTGTTGCATGTTGCATTTATATTTTTGTTCAGCTGTGTGTGTATATATATATGTATACGATGGCATGTATAGACATTACGGAAATTATGGATAGTATGTGGATAGAATAGTATTTGTACAGCAATAGTTAAATAGGATAGGCCTTGACTATAATACAGTGTATACATATGAAGTGGTTAAAACAGTGTTCAATTTCTATGTACTGTACATAGGGCATCAGCCTCTAAGGTGCTGGGTTGAGTAACCGGGTGGTAGCCGGCTAGTGACAGTGACTAAAGTTCAGGGCAGGTTCTGGGCAGAGGCCGGCTAGTGGTGACTATTTAACAGTCTGATGGCCTTGAGATAGAAGCTGTTTTTCAGTCTCTCGGTCCCAGCTTGGATGCACCTATACTGACCTCGCCTTCTGGATGATAGCGGGGTGAACAGGCCGTGGCTCGAGTGGCTGAGGTCCTTGATGATCTTCTTGGCCTTCCTGTGACACTGGGTGCTGTAGATGACCTGGAGGGCAGGCAGTGTGCCCTCGGTGATGCGTTGGGCAGACCGCACCACCCTCTGGAGAGCCCTGCGGTTGCGGACGGTGCAGTTGTCGTACCAGGCGGTGATACAGCCTGACAGGATGCTCTCAATGGTGCATCTGTAAAAGTTTGTGATAGTCTTAGGGGCCAAGCCGAATTTCTTCAGCCTCCTGAAGAACTGTCTGTCTGTGTGGGTGGACCATTTCAGATTGTCAGTGATGTGTACGGCGAGGAACTTGAAGCTTTTAACCTTCTCCACTGCGGCCCCGTCGATGTGGATGGGGGCGTGCTCCCTCTGCTGTCTCCTAAAGTCAACGATCAGCTCCTTCGTTTTGTTGACGTTGATGGAGAGGTAATTTTCCAGGCACCACTCCGCCAGGGCCCTCACCTCCTCCCTGTAGACTGTCTCGTTGTTGTTGGTAATCAGGCCTACCACTGTTGTGACGTCAGCAAACTTGATGATTAAGTTGGAGATGTGCGTGGCCACGCAGTCATGGGTGAACAGGGAGTACAGGAGGGGGCTGAGCATGCACACTTGTGGAGCCCCTGTGTTGAGGATCAGCGTAGTGGAGGTGTTGTTGCCTACCGTCAGGAAGTCCAGGACCCAGCACAGGGTTCAGACCCAGGGCCCTGAGCTTAATGATGAGCTTGTAGGGTACTATGGTGTTGAAGGCTGAGCTGTAGTCAATGAACAGCATTCTTACATAGGTATTCCTCTTGTCCAGATGGGATAGGGCAGTGTGCAGGCGATTGCGTCATCCGTGGATCTATTGGGGCGGTATGCAAATTGCAGTGGGTCTAGGGTGTCGGGTAATGTGGAGGTGATATGTGTTCCTTAACTAGACTGCACTTCATAATGGCAGAAGTGAGTGCTATGGGGCGATAGTCAATTGTGTTGTTTCCCGCCATTCGTTCATTTTGGTACTCTGATTATCAGCTGTAGTCAAACACGTGAGTCTAGAAAGACAATTCTCTTCAGTGTGCAGCGAATTCATCCTAGTGAATGTATATTAGATATATGAAATCCTGGCGTTTACAGCATACATTTTAGAAATGTCACATACTATATATCTTTCGGTTTTTGCATACCCAATCAGAGTACTATTTAGAACGCAAGTAGGGGTATTCAGACAGGCCCAGAGACTTGTCTTTTTCCATATTTGTATCTTTATTTAGATAGTTCAGAATGTAGACGTATAGTTTGTGGAGGGGAGAAAGTGGCTGGGGTGGGGATTCAAACCCATGTCACTCCTATACGTGCATGTAGATCGCTGCCGCAAGTAACCAATGTTTTTGATAATGTTGAGGACCTTGCGGTGGCAACGCCATAGGACTTTAACAGAAAACAACACTGCATCAGTCATTTTCTGTGTCGTCCTCATAATCCTTAGCTTGAACTGAACTCTCTATACAAATATCCATCATCACGACAGACCAACATCAGGTAAAGAGAATAACATTCAAAGGTTTTTCTTTTCCGAGAACTTAATTTATTATTACTAGAAAAACATACTATTTAGTTAACTATCTAGTTTGTATTACTAGAAAAACAAATACTATTCACTCAGCAGGTAAATCATGACAAACATAATACAGATGTGACAATTTGTGCATAGATGAACAAACATCTGTTTGCAGCTAAAACTGTAGGCACCAACACATCTGATATCCATACTATGACTAATAATTCAATCAGTCGGGATATGTTTTGCCGTCACAAAGCATTCTGTGTGGTTCAGCTCGTGTGGCTAGGCTAACAATCACATCCTTTCATTTGTGCTTTATTGACAGATAGATTAGAGTGGGAGATAAGTGACGAGGAGGAGACACAGTGAGAAGGGAGCATGCAGGGATTGAACCCTGGTTGCCGGCAGGGGGGGTGCATACTGTATGTGTATGGAGACGAAAGTGTTACCACTGGACCACAGCTCTGCACTACAGGATGTTTTAACAAGCTGTTGTTTTTACCAGGTTGGATGCAAGATCACTGTGCTGCTCTTCATTTACTTCCTGGCAACCAACTACTACTGGATCCTGGTAGAGGGGCTGTACCTCCACAGCCTCATCTTCATGGCCTTCTACTCGGACACCAAATACCTGTGGGGCTTTACCCTGATTGGATGGGGTGAGCTGCTCTGCCGTCTTAGAAACGCATGCAGTCATCCAATCACCACAGCGCTCATGTTGTTGATGGCCACCTGTTAATATAGCTTTTATTCAAAACAGGAAAAGCACTCACACATATCAGTTTGCTTGTTGCAGGTGCATGGGAATAATTTAATATCTTAAAAGAAGAAAAAATCCCACTGCTCTTGCCAGTATCAATTAAATGTATTCAGCGTACTGAATCTTGTAAGATCTTGAGACCGCAGTAATCATTGTCCTCTCTAATTCCAGGTGTCCCTGCTCTCTTTGTCGCCGCCTGGGCTGTTGTCCGGGCAACGCTGGCAGACGCACGGTGGGTGAGAGTGACACTCAACCTCCTCCTTCACCTACCATATCCATGTTCCACAGACACCTCCAGCAACACAGGAGAGGAGCCCAGCGTAGCATGCAGGACCCTGTTGAGATGAACTGCATCAGCTGTTTAGGCTCCCCGCAATCATCTGGTTTGGAAATAGGATCTCCCGAGGTGATGCAGTACTCTTGTTCTCAGTCACAGTCAGCGGCCTACTTGCCTTATTGTTGCAGCTGTACACCTTTGACATGACAACATTACACTTTTTTTAGCCTCTTCTCACAGCCGCTGTGCATGCGGAGCGCCCTGAGTCTGGCAAGAGAGACTACACGTTTGTTGCACGACGACATACTGTTTTGAGAGCAGTAAGGAACTCCTGCAGTACAAATGTACTCTAATCTCACTCTCTCTCTCTCTCTCTCTAAACAGATGCTGGGAGTTAAGTGCGGGTAACATTAAATGGATCTATCAAGTTCCCATCCTTACAGCCATTGGTGTAAGTGACATCAATTGCAGTAAAAAACATGATAATGCCTCTCCCTAATTCATCATTCATAGCCAGAATCCGGTAGTTTGCATCCATTACTAGAAAGTTACATTGCTAACTCATATCTTGGTTTTAAAAAAAGCTTTTTATTTTCTATACAGCTCCCTAGTGTACAGTATACCTTCCTCCTGCTCCTTAGTGGCCTAGTGACACCCTAGTGTACAGTATAACTGTCCCCTACCTGAGTACCTAAGCCTAGTGTATACACTCTCAAACTGACACCACCGGCTCAGCCTCAGCAGAGATACATACATTTCCATCTCTTTCAATACTATTGCTCTTAACCTGCCGCATGAGGTGGACCAAGGACTTAGGTTATCCTAATGAAATCAAATGGAATACAGTCTACAGCCCTGCCTTACGATTAAAATGTAATCTCATCCAAACCTTTGATGATACAAGTTCAATGATATCATGGTTGAAATTACATGATTAGAGATAATGGTGAGGGAGTTAATTTGATATGCTGTGTATCAATGCCCAGAATCTTGTTTATTTATTTATCTTTATTGAGACCGAAATGACAGAGGGGGCGACAGGCAGGTGGGATTAACAGATTCAATGGTTGGAGTGGGGATTGAAACCCAATATCCGGCGGAGAGAGGAATACAGTGCATTCGGAAAGTATTCAGACCCCTTGACTTTTTCCACATTACAGCCTTATTCTAAAATTGATGAAATTATTATTTTTCCCTCATTACACACAATACCCCATAATGACAAAGCAAAAACTGGTTTTTAGACATTTTTGCACATTTATTAAAAATAAAAAAACTGATACCTTATTTACATAATGTAGCGGGTGATTTTGGACGGAGTCAGGCGCAGGAGGGTAAATCACAGAATAAATGGTTTATTTGGAAATACAGCGGTACGCAGCAATGCGTAAAACACTCCAGTGCAGAAAAACGGTGCACTGGGGAAAACAAGGCACACGGGTGAATATCCCAGCGATACACAATACAATATAGCTCCACCGAGCTAATGTAACCTCCACAATAAACAAAGACAAGGGGGGCAGAGGGAATACTTATACAGGTACTGATGAGGAAATATGAACCAGATGTATAATAAACAAGACAAAACAAATAGAATGACGAGATGAGACGCGGCAGTGGCTAGAAGGCCGGTGACGACGAACGCCGAAGCCTGCCCGAACAAGGAGAGGAGGCAGCTTCGGAGGAAGTTGTGACAGTAACCCCCCCCCCTTGCAATGCGCTGGCACCGGCCTCGGGGACGGCCAGGAGGACGCGGAGTAAGGCGAGGAGGGACCTCCCGCACCTCAGACTCCTGGAGCGGACCAGCCACCACCGGCCTGAGGAGAGACACGTGAAACGAGGGGTTAATACGGTAATCAGGAGGGAGTAGTAACCTATATCCTCAGGACTTTGAACGGCCCCACAAACCGCAGGCTCAGCTTCCAGAAGAGCAGGCGGAGGGGCAGATTCCGGGTCGAGAGCCAGACCCGATCACCCGGTACAAAGACCGGGGCCTCACTGCGGTGGTGGTCAGCGTTGGGCTTCTGGCGACACACAGCGCGCTTGAGGTGGACGTGGGCAGCGTTCCACGTCTCCTCCACGCGCCGAAACCAGTCATCTACCGCAGGAGCTTCGGTCTGGCTCTGATGCCACGGTGCCAGGACCGGCTGATAACCTAAAACACATTGAAATGGAGATAGGTTAGTGGAGGAGTGGCGGAGAGAGTTCTGGGCATATTCGGCCCATGGCAAGAACACCGACCACTCCCCCGGCCGGTCCTGGCAGTAGGACCGCAGGAACCTACCCACATCCTGATTCACCCGTTCCACCTGCCCATTAGACGGGTGAAACCCAGAGGTCAGGCTGACCGAGACCCCCAGACGTTCCATGAACGCCTTCCAGATCTTAGATATAAACTGGGGACCCCGGTCAGACACTATGTCCTCTGGCACCCCGAAGTGCCGGAAGACGTTAGTAAACTTGGCTTCCGCAGTTTGCAGGGCCGTGGGGAGACCGGGCAGAGGAAGGAGGCGGCAGGCTTTAGAAAAGCGGTCCACAACAACCAGGATGGTGGTGTTACCCTGAGAGAGGGGAAGATCATTTAGGAAATCAATTGACAAGTGGGACCATGGCCGTTGTGGAAATGGTAAGGGATGTAACTTACCCGCTGGGAGGTGCCTAGGTGCCTTACTCTGGGCGCACACCGAGCAGGAGGAGACATACACCCTCACGTCCTTAGCCAAGGTAGGCCACCAGTACTTCCCTGTCAAGCGGTGCACTGTACGGCCGATACCTGGGTGACCAGAGGAGGGGGACGTGTGTGCCCAATAGATCAGACGATCACAGACAAGAGACGGCACATACCACAGCCCAGCTGGGCACTGAGGTGGAGATGGCTCTGTGCATAACGCCCGCTCTATGTCCGCGTCCACCGCCCACACTACCGGCACCACAATGCAGGAGGCCGGGAGTATTGGGGTGTTGTCTATGGGCCTCTCCTCTGTGGCGTACAGCCGTGACAGTGCGTCTGCCTTCACATTCTTAGTACCTGGTATGTATGACAACGTGAAATCAAACTGGGTGAAGAACAAGGCCCACCTGGCCTGGCGAGGGTTCAGCCTCCTCGCTGCCCGGATGTACTCCAGGTTACGGTGGTCAGTCCAGACGAGGAGAGGGTGTTTCGCCCCCTCGAGCTAGTGCCTCCACGCGGTCAGGGCTCTGACAACAGCCAACAGCTGTGGGATCTGAGGAAGGAGACGGACTGTTGGAAGAACAGACACTTTTCTGCCTTGTCATAAAGGTCATGTTCCAACAGTCGGCCCAGCACTCTGCGAACCAGGGACACATGCTCGGCGCGCGTAGCGGAATACACCAGAATGTCATCGATGTAGACCACCACACCGCGACCAAGCATGTCACGAAACACCTCGTTCACAAAGGACTGGAAGACGGATGGAGCATTCATCAACCCGTACGGCATCACCAGGTATTTGTAATTCCCAGTGGTTGTGCTGAATGCTGTCTTCCACTCGTCCCCTTCCGGGACACGCACCAGGTTGTACACACTCCGGAGATCTCATTTCGTGAAGAAGCGCGCCCCATGCATTGATTCAATAACAGAGGAGATGAGTGGTAGAGGGCGACGTATGAACCCCTGGCGCAGGGACGTATGTCTCCATAGCCTCCATTCAGCCTGCGACAGGGGATAGACATAACTCCTGGGAGGCACAGCGTCTAACCAGAGGTTTATCGCGCAATCCCCCGCCTGATGAGGTGGTTATTTGGTCGCCTGCAGTTTGGAAAACGTGTGCGCCAAGTCGAGGTATTCGGGGGAAATGCGCACGGTGGAGGTAGTGTTTGGACTTTCCACCGTGGTTGCACCAATGGAAACAGCTAGACACCTACCCTGACACTCTCGCGACCACCCCGTGAGAACCCTTTGTGGCCATGAAAAGGTGGGGTCGTGTAGTGCTAGCCAGAGAAGGCCCAACACAACAGGGAAATCAGGGGACTCAATAATATAAAAAGTGATTTGCTCCCTATGGGTCTCCTGCATAATCATCGTGACTGGTGCTGTAACCTCCTTAACAAAACCTGACCCTAATGGTCGACTGTCAAGTGCTTTGATGGGCAATGGAATGGGTAGGGGAACCAATGTGATACATAACCTATTAGCTAAAGACCTCAAATCAAATCAAATCAAATTTTATTGGTCACATGCGCCGAATACAACAGGTGCAGACATTACAGTGAAATGCTTACTTACAGCCCTTAACCAACAGTGCATTTATTTTAAACAAAAAAAGTAAAAATAAAACAACAACAAAAAAAAGTGTTGAGAAAAAAAAGAGCAGAAGTAAAATAAAGTGACAGTAGGGAGGCTATATATACAGGGGGGTACCGTTGCAGAGTCAATGTGCGGGGGCACCGGCTAGTTGAGGTAGTTGAGGTAATATGTACATGTGGGTAGAGTTAAAGTGACTATGAATAAATACTTAACAGAGTAGCAGCAGCGTAAAAAGGATGGGGTGGGGGGGGCAGTGCAAATAGTCCGGGTAGCCATGATTAGCTGTTCAGGAGTCTTATGGCTTGGGGGTAGAAGCTGTTGAGAAGTCTTTTGGACCTAGACTTGGCACTCCGGTACCACTTGCCGTGCGGTAGCAGAGAGAACAGTCTATGACTAGGGTGGCTGGAGTCTTTGACAATTTTGAGGGCCTTCCTCTGACACCGCCTGGTATAGAGGTCCTGGATGGCAGGAAGCTTTGCCCCAGTGATGTACTGGGCCGTACGCACTACCCTCTGTAGTGCCTTGCGGTCGGAGGCCAAGCAGTTGCCATACCAGGCGGTGATGCAACCAGTCAGAATTTTTTGAGGATCTGAGGACCCATGCCAAATCTTTTTAGTCTCCTGAGGGGGAATAGGCTTTGTCGTGCCCTCTTCACGACTGTCTTGGTGTGTTTGGACCATGATAGTTCGTTGGTGATGTGGACACCAAGGAACTTGAAGCTCTCAACCTGTTCCACTACAGCCCCGTCGATGAGAATGGGGGCGTGCTCAGTCCTCTTTTTTTTCCTGTAGTCCACAATCATCTCCTTTGTCTTGGTCACGTTGAGGGAGAGGTTGTTGTCCTGGCACCACACGGCCAGATCTCTGACCTCCTCCCTATAGGCTGTCTCATCGTTGTCGGTGATCAGGCCTACCACTGTTGTGTCGTCGGAAAACTTAATGATGGTGTTGGAGTCGTGCCTGGCCATGCAGTCATGGGTGAACAGAGAGTACAGGAGGGGACTGAGCACGCACCCCTGAGGGGCCCCCGTGTTGAGGATCAGTGTGGCAGATGTGTTGTTACCTACCCTTACCACCTGGGGGCGGCCCGTCAGGAAGTCCAGGATCCAGTTGCAGAGGGAGGTGTTTAGTCCCAGGATCCTTAGCTTAGTGATGAGCTTAGAGGGCACTATGGTGTTGAATGCTGAGCTGTAGTCAATGAATAGCATTCTCACGTAGGTGTTCCTCTTGTCCAGGTGGGAAAGGGCAGTGTGGAGTGCGATAGAGATTGCATCATCTGTGGATCTGTTGGGGCGGTATGCAAATTGGAGTGGGTCTAGGGTTTCTGGGATAATACTGTTGATGTGAGCCATGACCAGCCTTTCAAAGCACTTCATGGCTACAGACGTCAGTGC